TCTATCCCTTTCATATCCTCATGTTTCCATGCAAATACATCAGAGCTATTTTGGAGGAAATTGATGAGTTGAGTCCTTACCGGTTCCTGAAGGTTAGTACCGATTTTTAATGCCTTGCTGCACGTTGTTCTGTCAACATAGATCAATTCGGTTTCTTCACAAGGTTCTGCTCGATCATTACGACTGTTTTCCTTGAACTGAGTTCTTGGGTCAAGTTCATCTTCATCTCAGATTGGTTACTTGCCCGATCGCCGTCCAGGATCTGAATTTTCGTTTTCCACGTCATTAGGGATCAGTTTTATCTCGGTCTCTGGGTTTTCAACTTCGGTTGATTCCTTTTCAGATGGAGGGATTTCTTCGTGGCCGTCTTGGTCGGCCAGGTCGGTGGCGTGGATTTCCCCAGATGGTTTGGTTAAGATAAGCTCTCGTGCTTCTTTCTGTTCTCCATAATGTGTTCCTTCTCCACATCATGTTTGAAACTTGAGTGCATAATGGAAAATGGAGACCGCAACCCTCAGCTTATAAAGAGCAGTTCTTCCAATGATGGCGTTATATTCATTCTTGAGGTCCATAACTTTGAAAGTTTCGATGATAACCTTAGACGCGTCGTCGGGGCCTCCAAAACATATAGGTAAAGTTATTTCTCCGATTGGACAAGAAACACTTCCGTTGAATCCTTGGATTTTGTCATTACAAGGTTTGATTTCGGACGGATTGAGGCCCATCTTTTCGAACGCTCTGAACATCAATATGTTCGAATAGGCTCCTGTGTCCACCAAAAGCGATGCACGGGTATACGACAAATGGGAGCTGTGATAATCAGGGCATCGAAATGTGGATGTGCAAACAGATTAGGATCTTCCGCACTAAATGTGATTGGGCAATTTCTGGAATTTATTGTCTCACGGAGATCGATAGTCAGAACCTGTTTTTCGGAATTATAGGCTTGCCGAGCATAAGCTTTGGCTTGACGTCGGGAGAAGATTCTTCTACCGTGACTAGTGTTCACTCGCAAAGACAGCGTCGCGATTAACATCTGGGGATTTGTCTTGTCTCGTTCTCTTTAGGTTTTGATCTTGAGAACAATCGGAAACATCCGTAGTGAAGGCGAAAACTTCTTTATCGGCTTGTCGGATTCTCTTTGGATTCGAAATTCGGTCGTTCTCATTATCTTCATCTATATCTTCAAAACTTCGTCCTTGTCTTTGGATGCCAGGAGGTTATGAAAACCTTCAGAGTTGAGGGTGACCGATTAACCGTAGCAAAGCTGCCAACAAGCTAAAACACTCGTCGGTGTTATGTCCAGGAGACTTATGGTAGTCGCAATATCTTAACTTATCTAGTCGTTCTAGGGGCATCCTCACCGGTTGAGGTTCGGGTAAAATTCCTTTTCCCTTTAGCTCCTCGTAAATAGTTGCGGCCCCGGCTGAGAAAACGGCTTGATAGCCAGATTTCAGGTCGTCTCAATACTTCTTTTGGGCTGCTCTTACTTCAGAGGAATTGTAATCTTCTTTTGAGGGTCCTCCAAATGGAAGCCTCCCGGGTTTCCCGCCAAATATTTTCTTATTCTTTTTCGGTCCGCCTGAGTCGGGTTTTGACTCCTTTGAAGAAACACTGAAATCAGGGACCGACATCAACTCTTCGGCAATAATATGTTGCTGGGCTCGGGCAAGAAATTCTTGGAACATGCTCGGTTTGTTCTGACAAAGGGTCCATCAAAACATGGAATTCGGTTTGAGTCTGGCAATGGCTGAGACTAACAACGTTGCCGGATGGCAAGGCTCCATATTTTGAACTCTTTCATTAAATTGAGCAACATATTCCTTCACACTTTCATCGTCTCGTTGAGTAATATTTGCAATTGATTCTTTAGGAATAAGACATACCTGGGCTCCAATAAAATGGGAACGAAGGCTGATCTAAGCTGCTGCCATTTCCAGATTGAGTGTCAAGGTAATGAATGATACCACTTTTGTGCTCGAGGCCCCAAAGTGAGGGAAAACATCCTGCAACGCAAAGCGTCGGTAGCACCATGAAGATCCATCCATGAAGTGTAATGACCGAGATGGGCATCGGGATCCGAGGTCCCGTCGTACAATCCGATTTGTGGAACTTTCACTTTTCCGGGTATAGGACCCATAGTCAGCTCGGGTGCTAACGGTAATTCGATCTCCAAGTACACATGACCCCATTCCGAGGGCGGAAAATTCGGTGGATGTCGCATATGGGCAGCATGTCGTGCTTCAAATTCAAGTTCGGCAACTCGCCTCCTCAACATCTCGGTCTTCGAATTCTCACGTCGGTTAAGACGATTTGTCCCGACTTGTTGACGCAGGTCGGGAGAATTGTCAAGTTGTTGGGGTATCGGTTGAACAGGAGCGGCGCCTCTCCGAGCATGTCCTGGGTAGCTTTCAGCCATTGCTTCTTGCATATTGTTCCCGTCCGACAGAGGTGCTATTCCTGCCGGGGGGCCTTGGTGATTATTATCATATGGATGAGACGTAGCGTGTGAAGCGACAGGATGAATATCGTTTCGGGGAGGTGATTATTATCATATGACTTGTACTTGCCTGATGGGTTTCAGTGGATTTACAAGCGGCCCTAGAGGAGCCCGTGATGTACTGGGAATTACTTGCGCCAACAGAGTGGTGATTCCTTTCACAATTTCGGAATTCTGTAGAAGCACCGCTACATCTGGTGTCACCGAAATATTAGTGACGCGTCCTGTAGGCTGATTCGCAGGAGTATTGTTGTTAACTTGTCCGTTGATTGGGATTACTCGCATGTTCACTAGTCATGGGATGTTCTTGTTCTGATTGCGACATGGTTGAAACATAGAAATAACGGTGACAGAGTAGTGGGAGTCGTCTGCACGTCGAAGATTAACCTCAAATACTTATGAGGCCCTCCTTCTAGTGCCAAACTGTTGTCATATGGATTTGTAACAACATCATTAACGTAGCTAATACATAAATTAAAATGATAAGTGACGATAATATGAGAATTTGATCAATTATTGAGTGGTTGGCGTGTTGTAACCGAGGTGAAAATAGTACAAGGTAATGAAAAGATTCCCCCCCCCAATAAGGGATTTTTAGGCTATATATAGTAACTTTTACGTTGCACGTTGTTCGAGATCTCCAATAATTCAGGATTGGTATAAAAAGTAGCTTTAGTTGGGCGGTTAGGACGGTCGGACCCACGATCATCATGACGTTGGGCACGAAACGTAAGAAGGTCGCGCAGGCGCCTTGTCACCTGCTTCGGTATTGATGAATTCGGTAACCTCCGAGGTAACATTGGTAGGCAGTTTGCGTTGGTAGACAACGAAAGGAAGTCAAGAATTCGGTGAAAGCTTGAAGTCGAGAATTTGGTGACAGCTTGAAGTCGGAGAAAACTTAGAAAGTCGGTAGGAAGGCGCCGTTCCGTGGTTGTGTATCATTGGTAAAAGAGGAGAGTTTCTGGAACCATCCGACGTCTTCATTTATTTATTTTGATTAGGGGTCATGATGGTCGCATTATTCGTAACTTCGATTTAATCTCGGGGAGTTACCAAGTCGGTGGTCAACAATTATTATTTAATTTTATTAGGATTTTATGAATTAATTTTATTCCATATATAATATTCCAAGAGTTGGGGAATATTCCTTCTAGAATATTGCCTAGGGTTAGGAGACTTCAGAGTCTTCTAGAAGGTGATGTTAGGAGGAATGAATCATGACCTAGTTGGGATTAGCTTATGGAGTAGAATTAGGATTCCTTGGCCAAATGGGATAAGCCCATATTTGACACCTCCTTAAGGTCCCTAATGGAGCCTATAAATACACCATGTCCCAACCTCTTGTTTTGTACATGTGAGGCTCGATTTGAGGTCTTCAAAAGAGAGAGGAAATCGAGATTTATACATAATAGAGAGTTTGGGAGATTCAATTAATCGCTCCACTAAGATTAATTGAAGTAGGTGTTTAGGTAATCCTTTAGAAGATTTTAAAGTGATTTTTATCAAACTTTAAAGATCCAAATGTTCTTGCCAACCACCGCCACCGACCGCTGTCGTCCTCCGCCGTCCACCGTCGCCGGCGGCTGCC